CAAATAACAAAACATAATTTATGGGCCTTATATTACCATAGTTCTAGACAAAATGGTTTTGGCTATGACACATCCAATTGAATACTGAGGAGAAAAAACAACTTATTCTTTAACAGTTGTCAGGGTCAGTGTGACTTGCCTGAATATTGAAGCACATGTTCTGTGGGTGGGTAGGACATTGTTATAGGTTGAACCCTATGAGTGTTGGAGTGAAATGGGTAGGAGACATTGAGGGCCTAAGGAATGTGTTATTGAAGAAAATATAACGAAAGACAGAGCCAAGGACTTCACTTCAGGGAAATTTTATACTTAGGGACGGGAAGAGAGAGAACAGCCATGAAAAGTCACTAAAAGGACTGGTCAGAGTCAAATGTACTAGCACAGAAGCCAAAGACAAGAAATGACTTGGGAAAGGGATAGAGGTGCCCAATTGCATTAAATATTCAAGAAAACTCGAGAGGTATGAGCACTGACGAAAAGTCACTGGATTTCACAAGCAGCATTTTACCTTGAGTATGTAATGTAGCTTAATTAGAGTTAATATAAATGACATTAGGAAGGGTTAAATTTAAAAGATAATGTGTTCGCAGGGAAATGGAGAAGTTTAACCTTGTATGGAAGAAGGTTAAGAGGGAATAACAAAATTAAGAGTTTTGAGAACAGGATGGAGAAAACACATTTATGTCAACATAACATGGAGAGGATCCATGCCAGACGGGTCAGTTTTCTAGTCATGGTAGGTGATGCCACATCATTTCGGAGAGGGACACATGGAGCAGAGCAAAAGGAATATAATGGGCTTTGCTCTGAAACAGTTGGGAAATTAATATGAGAAGGATACAAAGACTGCTCTGTATTTATATACAAATATAAATACACTTAAAGTTGGTATAATTTAGCACTAAAATGACCTTAAAACTCACTTTATAAAAAAACATTGCCCATTTCTTTGATTTCTTGGAGTTATTAGTTTTATCCCTTGGTAATAATACTATCCTTTGATAATAATTTTATAGGAAAATCTTTCTAAACAAATGTATTATATTTATTTTTTCTGTGCACATCTCTGCTCAGCCAAAGTCAGAGGAGCAAACATAGAAATAAACATGGCAGAAAGAGGCCTTGGGAATCTTCTGGTCCAGTCTGAGCCCATGTTTTGCCTCACTGAATATGCAATACTGTAATTATCACTCATGGGTGTTACCCACTGCCTTCCCTACTCTCCATTCTTCAGAGGAAGGAAAAAACATAAAGATCCTGTCATCCTCTTGACATTACATACCCAACTGGTGATAGATAAAAAATGCCAAACCTCTGTTTAAGACCCAGTCCTCTGTCTGTACCTCAGGCATAGCCCCCTATTTAGCCAGAGCTCTTAACCTCTTAACAGAGACCTGAGTTCACTCAACATTTGATCTATTTGGTAATCAGTCATCTTAATAGTAAAATCTAAGAGGGTTCACCAAAGGAATGTGTTGTCATTTAAAAATATTTAGTATATTCAATAATAGTCCTATATAAAATAACTCAAGACATTATTCTATTATTTTATTTTTTTTATAAATTTATTTTATTTATGTTTATTTTTGGCTGCATTGGGTCTCTGTTGCTGCATGCAGAGTGGGTGCTACTCTTCATTGCAGTGCGCGGGCTTCTCATTGTGGTGGCTTCTCTTGTTGCAGATCACGGGCTCTAGATGCGTGGGCTTCAGTAGTTGTGGCGCACGGGCTTAGTTGCCGTGGATGGCACATGGGATCTTCCCAGACCAGGGCTTGAACCTGTGTCCCCTGCATTGGTAGGAGGATTCTTAACCACTGTGCCACCAGGGAAGCCCTACTGATTATTTTATGATACATAGTTATGCCAAACAGACTCTCCCTGATTGCCAATTCTGCACACACAAATTCTTGGTTTTTCTTCAAAAGTAACTTGCATGTGTTTATATTATCTTCATATAAAGATTTGTCCCTGCCCCCTAGTCACCAAAATGTGTATCTGTATGTGAAACTCAACACTGGTATCATTGGCCCTGGGCTACCCATACTCCTTTGCTTAGAATCCTTTGTGATGGAGTGTATATTCATGCAACTTTTGACCTGCTTAAGTGTATCATCCAAATAAAACAGTCATTATTTCTTTTGTATAAATATGTGGTCTATATGGAAACTAAGCCTAAGAATTTGGACTCATTAGCATGATGTTCAAACTGGCTTTGTTAACTCCCAGGAGGCATTATTACCCTGAAATATTTTTATTTATAAATCAGAATACAATCTCATGCTAATATATCAGTATTGTTGGAAAGGGTGGTGCTCTAGGAAGATTTCAAAAATAAAGCAAGGAAACAGGATCAGGTACCACAATACAGGGAGAGACACTGGTACACACCAAACGTGTACAGAGGTAAACAACGAGAATCCTGGTCAAAAAAAGAGCTGAGGGTCAGAAGCCAGCAGTTCATGGTGATCTGTGCTGGTTGATCACTCAGAGCAAGGGAATGAGGAAATACACAGGCAGGAAGGAAAGACAGTATGAGTTCAGAGAAGCAGACATGCTCCACAGGAAGCGAGGGGAACACATTGTGAGGTCAAGTTCTACCAGAGCCAGGAATTTCCTCCCACATGGAGTATCATTTTTGTTGCAAACAAACCACCTTAGAAACGAGTGGTTGAAAACAATATCCACTCTTACATAACACAGGTATAGGGACCCACTGGACAGTTATTTCTGATGATGTGGGCCAGGCTCAGCTGATCTTGGCTGAGCTCCTCATGTGTCTGTGCACAGCTGGGGTGTTGGCTGGGGCTGGCTGGCCTCGGAGGGCCTCGCCTCAGAAGACTCAGCTCTTCTATTTGTAATGAGGTGGACAGACCTAGAGTCTGTCATACAGAGTGAAGTCAGAAAGAGAAAGACAAATACCGTATGCTCACACATATATATGGAATTTAAGAAAAAAAATGTCATGAAGAACCTAGGGGTAAGACAGGAATAAAGACACAGACCTACTGGAGAACGGACTTGAGGATATGGGGAGGGGGAAGGGTAAGCTGTGACAAAGTGAGAGAGAGGCGAAAGGTTGATAGCTGGTGGGAAGCAGCCGCATAGCACAGGGAGATCAGCTCGGTGCTTTGTGACCGCCTGGAGGGGTGGGATAGGGAGGGTGGGAGGGAGGGAGACGCAAGAGGGAAGAGATATGGGAACATATGTATATGTATAACTGATTCACTTTGTTATAAAGCAGAAACTAACACACCACTGTAAAGCAATTATACCCCAATAAAGATGTTAAAAAAAAAAAAAAAGAAGAAGATTCAGCTCTTTTCCAGGTCAGCCTGGGTACGTTCTCACAGTGAAGTACAAGAAAAGAGATTATACAAGTGCCTTTTCAAGCCTTTGCTCACATCTGGTCTGCTATCGCCCCATTGCCCAAAGAAAGTCATGCAGTTAATCCTGGAACTAATATGGAAGGGCACAACCAAAGAGGATGGTGTTAAGTTGGAACCATTCATCCAATCCATATAGCATACTAAAGAGCCAGTATCAGGGCATTGGTAGTTTGGAGTAAATGATAAGGACAGGTAAGTGCACATACCTTCTGATGAAGAAGAGCCTGGGAACTGATGCAGGGAAGGCAAATATTTCACTTGTAAATACTTGCTGAAAAGTAATTAAAGGAAGACAGGCCACTCAAAACCTGGCTGCACATTTCTACCTGCTAAGGTTTCAGGATGCAGCACGGGAGACTTAGGCTAGATGTAAAGAAAATCTCGCTGACAATGGAAGTTTTTAAACACTGCAATGGATTACTAAAGGAAACTGTAATTTTCTTTTAAAGTACTTAAAATCAAACTAGCTACCTTGTTATCTGGTATGTGCCCTTGGACAGAAGCAGAAAGACGAACTAGTTGACCTTTCAGAGTCCCTCCAGACCTATTATTGTCACGCTGAACCTATTCGCACCGTGGAAGAAAGACTCTAACAGCCTGCCTTTGATTCCTACACTAAACGCACATTTATTACAGACCCTCTCTGTGCTTGGCACGCTGCTTGGTGCTAGAGATATAATCTCAGCCTTTAAGGAGATCACAGGCTTTGGTCAAAAGGTGAAGCAAAAATGCTCCATCTACATAAGTGTTAACACATGGGTGATAGAAGATGCTATTTAAAACAGTGAATGTCTTCAAAGGACAAAGGCTACTGTGAAGGGGAAGACCCCTTGCCCTGGGTCTCTGCCTATCTTTTGAGCCGCCCAAGAGACCAGAAGGCTCTTTTGTTCAACTGGGCCCATTGATGGGTTTGCGATAGACAAAGGGACTTAGAGCAGAGTTACAGGTATGGGACTGGAGAGAGCAGAGTTCTCTGCATAATTAAGTGAGAATTTGTGATTTGCTGGAAAACTTAGGTAAGACTGGGAGCAGAATAGGGATGGAATAGGGAAGGCAAGAGTCCAGGCATTACATGGGGTAACATGGCCAGGGAGAAAGCCCTTGGTCTGTGGTGGCTAAAGCATATCTATGAACCTAACAATCTCACTTTTAAAAAGCTAACAAGAGAGACTTCTGTCCAAACGAGATAACTAGTATAGACTCGTCTCTCCCTACTTTTTCCTACTTAGGATAACGATAAACACTGGAAATAATGCAGGATACAATCAAAGGAGAACTCTGAGAGGTGGCTGGTGAAAGGCAAACTGCTTTAAGGAGCCCAGGACCGAAGACACAGCATTATGTCTGGGCATCTTACAACCTCATGCCCAACAGAAGGGCACATGGTTGGCATTTCCCAACCCCCAAAACTAACGACAGAAGGTGTTAACGTAGTCCACAGGGGTTTGACCGAAGCCCCAGTGAAAACAGGTTACCCAGGGAAATATTCTCCTTCCCTGACAGTCCTGGGACTCCCCTCTCCTACTCAGAGACACCCACGAAGCAGATCCCACCACAAGCACCTTCCCAGGAAGCCCTCTCTGTCCCCACAGGTCAGAGACTTCATTTTCTCACCTCGAGATTCAGGACAGGTGATACACCTGATGCCATTCCTTCCACCCCTTCAAGGAGCACCAGCGAAGATCTGTTGGAGTCCCGTGGCTGACCTTAAAGAATGGCCAGAAGAAGTTCTTCAAACAAAAATGAAATGAAAAAGAAGGTTTCCAAGCCACGAAGAAGGAAGAAAGAAACAACGAGAAAAGCAATACACTAGACTGTCATTCTTCTCTTGAGTTTTCTAAAATATGTGTTATGATTGAAATTAAAATTATAACACCATCTAATACTTAAGACAATGATATTTAAAGTAGAGAGGGTAAAAGATAAATTGAAGTGGGGTTTCCACATTTAACTGGAAGTGGCCAAATGCTGATACCAGTAGTCAGTGGTAAAGCGTGTATATATATTGTAATGCCCAGAGCAGATACCAAGGAAACTATACTAAGCAAAATTCTCAAAAATACAAAAATTACATCAAGGTGGAATCTTTAAAACATGTTCAAGTAACCCGCAGGAAGGCAAGGGGGAAAAAAAACAAAGAACAAGAAACAGAGGAAATAAACAGAAAACAAATAACAAAATGTTAGATTTAAGCTCTAACATATCAGTAATTACTTTAAGGGTAAATGGTTTAAATATCCCAACTGGAAGGCAGAAATTGGCAGACTGGATTTTTAAAAAAATGATCCAATTACATGCCGTTAACAAGAAATTTACTTCAAATTCAATGGCATAGGTAGGTTGAAAGAAAAAGGATGAAAAAAGGCATATCATTTTGTTTATGAAAAGGGATTGAGATACATGCATAAGCTTGTATATGTATAAAAATGTTACAGAAGGGCTTCCCTGGTGGCGCAGTGGTTGAGAGTCCGCCTGCCGATGCAGGGGACACGGGTTTGTGCCCCGGTCTGGGAAGATCCCACATGCCGTGGAGCGGCTGGGCCCGTGAGCCATGGCCGCTGAGCCTGCGCGTCCAGAGCCTGTGCTCCGCAACGGGAGAGGCCACAACAGTGAGAGGCCCGCGTACCGCAAAAGAAAAAAAAGCACTGAAAAAAAATGTTACAGAAGGCTACAAAAAACCATTAACAGTATTTAGTTCCAATGAGGGTAATTGGGGATCTGGTATGAGAATACTTTTCACTGTCTACCCTTCCATGCACTTTAAAAAATTAACACATGCACTGGTAAAGTTTATGCAAGTTTATGTAAAAATAAACTGAAGAAAATAACTTTGGTTAATAAAACGTAAGGACTATCTACTAAACAATGTTATGTTACTATAGTAGTGGAATAATAGACCCCACCAAGGCCAACCACAAACCATTAGTAAAAGTCCCACATTATGTGAGTTATCTGCATCAATATTGCTCTAGAGTTAAAGGAGAATCATGGAAAAGGATCCATGTTCCCTCTTTGTGTCAACACTGGGACTGAGATATAGGAATAGCCACAAGCTAAAGAATGAAGAATAATAGCTCAGCAGAGGCAAGAGAGAGCCAAAGTTGCTCATAAAAATATAAGTCCCCCTTGCCCTCCCATCCCCACCCACCAGAGAGTCACAGAAATCTTGATGAAGCCATTGAATTTTACAGTCATGTGTGGTTGTTCAAGCTCATCTCCTTTTCAGCTCAAAGAAGAGAGACTTTTAGCTGACCATTAGGTGACAGCAGCATGACCTATACCTTGGTCTAGGCCACTTGTGTCCACTTGTGGAAAGACAGCCTTAAATGGTTTGACCAGGGCTTCCCTGGTGGCGCAGTGGTTGGGGGTCCGCCTGCCGATGCAGGGGACACGGGTTCGTGCCCCGGTCCGGGAGGATCCCACATGCCGCAGAGCAGCTGGGCCCGTGAGCCATGGCTGCTGTGCCTGCGTGTCCGGAGCCTGTGCTCCGCAACGGGAGAGGCCACAACAGTGAGAGGCCCATGTACCGGAAAAAAAAATGGTTTGACCAAAAACAATTCATCCAGAGTTCTCAAAATTTTTCAGTGGTAATGCCCATTGACAAGATTTATTATTTTAATTACTTAAGTATTATTTCTAAATTATAACAAAAGAATCATGTTCCTTAGATACAAGCTACTTAAATCATCTATACCAGGTTTGCAATATACCTACATCCATTTTCAAATTCAGGAAGAAAATGCCCCATGATCAGAACCCTGATGACAAATTGTTTCCTCTTTCATGACAGTAGCAGTGGGTGAGATAGATGACTCAGTGCTTTCATACATTATGGTTTCCCCATTAGCTATTTATACGGAAATCTTTTAAAAATGTATATGCTTAAAAGTTTAAAGTGTGTTTCTCAGGACATTACACTGACAAATAGATATTCTGTAGGTTCTTTCACTCCAGACAATTTTATTGCCAAAGGAAACAGAAAATGTAGAACGGTTCAAGTTCCTGATCAAAACCCTTAAGTAGGGACTTCCATGGTGGCACAGTGGTTAAGAATCCACCTGCCAATGCAGGGGACATGGTTTCGAGCCCTGGTCCGGGAAGATCCCACATGCTGCAGAGCAACTAAGCTCGTGCACCACAACTACTGAGCCTGCCCTCTATTGCCCACAAGCCACAACTACTAAGCCTGCATGCCACAACTACTGAAGCCCATGCGCCTAGAGCCCGTGCTCTGCAACAAAGAGAAGCCCCGCTCACCGCAACTAGACAAAGCCCAAGCGTAGAAACGAAAACCCAATGCAGCCAAAAATTAATTAATTAATTAATTTGTTAAAACCTCAAGTAAAAAGAGAATTTCTTCCTAGATAAAAAATAATATTATCCAAAAATCCTTAAATTAAAAGAAAACAAAACAGGATTTTTTTCCCTAGAAAAAATACAACAGTACAAGACAATACACTTGTAAGCGTGATTCAAACCTAGGAAAGAAGTGGTATTTGGAGGTACAGGAAGAATATTTAGATTAAATGGAAGAAATGACAAGAAAAACCACCAAAGAGGAGTTGGTCTTAAGGACCCCATTGCCTATCCTTGTCACCCGTCTCTTCTGTCTAGTGGCCTTAGAAGTGGCACATTTCTAAGTGAAGAGATGAAGAAATTACTGTAGTGGTTGCCATATTAGAATTCTATCTACCTCACTGTCAAGTGAAGTGCATTTGATTCCTGTGGATAACTAAGGTGCATTAGTCAGCACATTGAGATGGAGCGGTTTTTTATATAATCAAATGACCTATTTAATTGAAAATCATGATTTCATCTTGGACAAACTACTTTTGGCCTATGCTTGCCTAACAGTAAAAAAAAAAAAACAACAGACCAGATCTTGCACTAGCATTCACCAGTAGGCTTAAGCTTCTTGGATACACTCAGTTTCCTTAAAGCCAAGAATACAATCTTCCACTTGGCTCCCAACCAGAGACGCCAAAACTCATTGCCTAATGCTGCAATTTATTTTGTGACAGCCCTCTTCTTAGCCCATATTTAAATTCCAGTACAAAATAGATACAGAAGGCACTCGGGATTTCAACTCTTATGGATTATATTGTTTAAACCTAGAAGAACAAAATGCCCTAAAATAGTGTATGCAAAACATGTATAAGTATTTTGAAGATCCAAATTTCTTTAAATCAACATAGTATTCCCTTTCTGCTTTCACTATAGTACTAAGTGGCATATGTGAAGGACATAGGCAAACCTGTGGAACCCGAGTCTGAAAGATTTTAAGACAGCAGCCCATGGAATAATAAAATCACTTTTAATTCAACAGAGTTACTAGGATAACCTAAAGTTATATACCAGCTTTTTAAAAAAATATATACAAAGCTTAATTCAGCTGACTCCCCTAAGTTTTTTCCCTGTATTCAAGGAATTTGTAACTGAATAGTAAAACCAGCATACCAAATTGTTCAGTGATGCAAAAGATTATAAAGAGAAGAAGAAAGGTAAAGAAGGAAACAAGAGTCACCATTGGAGAAAGGAAGCAATGATTTACATGGAATATTTGGCATGGAATGCTCTACCTTGTCAAGACTTGCTGTGCACTGTAAAATCCTGTTTAGAAACCATGGCAGCATATTAAGGAGATTTAGTGTTATGAAAACAAATGGGGAACTAAAAGTAATAAAACAAAGTTTCTAATGTCAACTGACACTAAATGTGTGACCTCGAGCAAGTCACTTAACTTCGTAAGTCTTAATTTCTATGAAGGCCTTAAACTAGAATTATTTCTAAGCTGTACACAAGAGGAAATATGTTTTTTAAGTATTAGGAGTCAAAATTTTAAAACATACATTTTGGAAAAAGTAATACATTGACTATTGTTTCTTTTAGAAAAAAATTTTTACATTTGATATTTTGCAAAAATAATTTCTATTAAAAAAGACATCTATGATGTTTTTCTCAAGAATTTTGCATTATTAAAGGTTGGAAAGTCAGGTGAGACTTGAAATGTTTCTGAATAACAACTATGTCTAAAATGTTTTTAAATTATTCAGTCTTCAAACAAGTTGATAATTATTTATTTTAAAAATATCTTGCAATATGATATCAGAACACGTGATACCTGTAAAAATCTTTTGTCAACTGAAAGGCAATAAAAAATATAAATATCACTGTTATTATTGTCAGTGCTAGAAAATTCTACATACGCTGCTGAGTTCTTAGGTTTATGGATCATTCCTTTACATTTTTAGTGACGATAAAATCTAGATGTTAAGTTCTAAGCAAGATCCTATAATGAACAGCTCATATGAATGTTCTTTCCCCTTAGCTTTTAGAATATTTGGTAAACCCAGATCCTATCCATGATTCTTCAACAGTTTTATTCAAATACAGTACTAGTACTGATTTTAACTTACGAAGATATCCATTGTCACTCATGTAGCTCTGGATGAATGAATTTTAATTTGACCCTCAAGAGTCAGTCTAGCCAAATAATAACAATGAAAATGCATGAGAACAGTAATTTCAACCTGGCTATTTCACAGACAAGCTTATTTTATGCATCAATAGCAAATAAATCAAGAAATTGGATGGACTTGCTGAATGTCTTTCACTGCTCTAAGTAAATCCATCCAGCTAGCGTAACAAGCAGTTCTGAAGATTGGAATGTAAGCAGAGAAGAAATATTGATTGATTGCTTTATTTAGAGTAGAACTGTAACACCACCTATGCAAGGCATTTAGCATATCAAGCTAGGCAGTACCATCTTGTTGCTATAAACTTAACTGCAAGACAGATTAGACACTGGTGTGTGGAGTCTGGTCCCATAACTAAGAGCCATCTCTAATGGCAAAGCAGCTCCTACGAAAGGCATTAACTTTAGGGAGATGCACGTGACTGCTGGCTGGCACATTGGATTTCCATACTGCAACACTACAGGGCAGCTGAGCATCTGTGGGAATGTCAACATACGCGTGTGCGAGTGAGTTGTTTCCAATCGACCTTGTAGGCACTTTAAAGAGGAAGAACGCCAAATTCGTGCACCATTTTGGATGTTTGGACATTGTTATAGACACGTAACAGCAAAGCACCCTCTAGAACAGTGGTCCCCAACGTTTTTGGCACCAGGGACTGGTCTCGTGGAAGACAATTTTTCAACGGATGGTGGCGGGGAGGGGGATGGTTCAGGCGATGGGGAGCGGCAGATGAAGCTTCGCTCGCTCACCCACCACTCACATCCTGCTGTGTGGCTAGGTTCCTAACAGGCCACAGACTGGTACCCATCCACGGTCCAGGGGTTGGAGAATCCAGCTCTAGAAAAACCTCTCCTTCCCTCTCAGCAATTCTTATTGTTGTTGTAATTATTATTTCACAAATAGAAATAATACAAATAAGCCCTGGCCCATCATCCGAGACCTAGTAGATGCCCTACTGAGCCTGAAAGAACATAAAAGAATTTAAAGAATGGGAAATACCTGCATTAGCAATATAACTGCCTGGTAGAGATACATTTAAGTGCTTATTCCATGATGAGCAGCATTTTAATAAAAATGCCAGCCCTGAGAAAAACTGGGAAAAATAGTTACCAATCTCATAAATTTCTAGACTAATCCACAAGATTATCCAGATCACTCAAGTTTTCCAGTTGCTGTTTCCCTGGGATTGACACATCTATTTTGATGCCTTGCTTGACAGCCTCCAGCCGGGGCTACATTCATGGGCATTTGAAATGCTTGCCTATGCCTGGTGCCTGAGATTTCAGGGCACCCCTCATGCTCCACGCTCCATCTCCCACTTGTACAGTGTTGATGCAGACACTCCTTGGGGACCTTAAAATATGGGGGAAACGAACTTTGAAAGGAGACAACTAGAAATTCAAACAATTGGTTACCTTATGCCAAGAAACCAAATTGTCCGAAGTAATATAGTGACTCGACATTCAGGGAGACCTAAATCCCAAGAGCTTTGCGTACTACAAATGAACACCCAACAACATAGCTTATAAATCCTTCTATAAAACAAAGCAAGTTATATCTGAAAAACAGACTCAAATGATGTCTGCAATTGCTCCAAAGAGTTACTTTGAATATCATCACCAGTAGAGGAATCCCAGTGCATGGAATTCCAACTGCTTTTTCAGAAAAATGACAAATTGCTATAGATCCCAAGCCTTGAGGAGGGTCACTTGTAAATGTAACTGCTCAACCTTAATTTATTACTGTGTAAGACCTTATAGGCATTTTTATCAGAAGAAGAATGTTTGTTCTCACAAATAACTTGATATAATCAGTTGTAATGTGATTCAGAAGTAAAATCATTGGTTATATTTGATACAAACGTCAAGGGAAAGTGTTTAAATATATTTTTAGTACAATCAAATGAACATTAGTAGTTAACTTTAAAAGAAGAACACGATTATAATTCTTTTTAAAGGCTTGGTTTACAAAGATCTTCTCCAATAGCCTTCAGAGACTCTCCTGTGAAACTGATGTTTGTCTAGCTTCTACTCTGCAGTTATAGTACTCCAGCGAATCCACCATGACAAGCCTCCTCTAAACACCACAGTTCCTACACTGGAGGGTTACAGAAAGAGGTGATATGTTCTACTGAATGTTATAGCTTTCACTCTGTTGCAGTGATGTCACACAATGTGAGCATTACTTGTGTGAAGGTTCTGGAGCGACCTGACCTGGGTCGCTCTCGTTTTCCCGTGAGACCTCACCTCTCCTTGGTGCTCCTGCAGTTCTCTTTACCTCGATCCTGGCACATAACCCACCGTGTTGATATTAATCCAAACATCATGTGAATGAATAGACAATAAGCTCTACGAGAGTAGGAGCTTTCTGTTACTCAGCTTTGCGTCTGCAGCCTCAAGCAATAACTGCACGTCACTCAAAAGTTCACAGAACATGTTCTTACCGGTTGAACTGAATAGTGACCAGGCATTTGACTATGTCAGCTTATTTTTTCTTCTTTTGTTTTTGCGGAATCTAAAAAAAAAAAGATACAAATGAAGTTATTTACAAAACAGACACAGATTCACAAACATAGAGAACGAATTTATGGTTATGGGGGTGGGGGGAATAGATTGGGAGTTTGGGATTGACATGTACACACTGCTATATTTAAAATAAAATGCCCTTCCATACGTCAGCTTTCTATGTCTAAAGACCAATACTTTCATCTGAGGCCCCAAGAGGCATAACCAACCAACTTCCTGGCAGCAGCTCATAGGACTTTTTGGTCCTCAGGTTTTAGAAAGGAAGCTACTGTAACTTTACACAGCAATGCTGAAGGGAGATCTAAGTGCCTCTCTGTGAGATGCAGAAATGGGAATAGTTTATCACCTACTATAAATAGAAAAAAATGAGCATGTTTACTCTCTTTTCTTGTAGTACAGTATGAAAAAAAACTGAATAAATATCCTTGATGCCAAACTCATTAGGTTTCTTTCTAGGAATGATTGTGTGAAAAGGGAGAGTTTCAGAAAAGCTTTTTCAAAATGAGACTCTGTTTGAGTCGGTTTTTTTCCTGAATCCAAACTACAAATTTTGATTTATAAACCACAAGCAGTTTCAGAAGCATCTCTGAAAAGGCTACTTATACTCTTCCAGGCAGGAATCTCATAGTGCTGGGTGGTTATTTTTCTAGAGAAAATGCTGTCTTCCAACAGGTTGGGCTTGCATTGTTCCATAGGAAACCACATTTCTCCCATCAGTGAGATCTCCCCCCTGAAAAGAGAATTCCATTTTCTTGAACCTTCTTTCTGCCACATCAGAGAAGATATACCTAGACGTCTGCACAAAGCTTGCCGAGGATTGAGCTGCAACAGCATGAGAAGACTGGTAAACTCCCCACCCCTCCCTATGGGCACGGTGGCATCACGCCACGCGACTCCTGTGGTGGGTATCACATGCTCTGTCATAGAAGAGGACAGAGCGTCTGTGTCTATTCTAGATTTCTCTAGCAGTGATTTTCCTGTTCCTGTTCCTATTTGAATTGCCCCTTCTCTTTCTTCACAAAACATATCCCAGCTTCATTTTCAAGGCCAAGGAGGAGAGTAAGCTGTTTCCATCCAAGGGTGATTTTCATAATTAGTCAGTTCATCCCATTTCACATTCCCAATTTATTTCATGTATCTTCCAGTCCCAATAAAGGACCATATGAGCATTTTTATTTTTTTAAAGATATTTTGCAAATGGAAAAAAAAGAACAGTTTTAAAGTGTCCTCTAAAGTTGTCAGGAACATAAAATTAAAATCCCTTTAAGATACCAAAATCAACCTAATGAAGAACAGATTAATAAGATTTCAGGAAACCTTTTTTTATTCCCTTAATCAGCTCCAGCTAAGAAAAATATAAATTCAACTCAATAGAAAATTCTTTCATGAGAAATGATTAAGGTTTGGAGAATGAAGTTTAGGAAGGGAAGAGGGAGGCCATTCTTCCACAGTGAGGACTAATTTCTAAGGTTAACATCATTCACTCACATACAAAATGGTTCTGAAAATTTATGTGGACAACTTACTATATCTACAGAGTAAGGAAACCATCATGAAAGATTTCACCCATGAAGGATTAACTGCTATGAAAATTTCCACCTGCAATAAACAACTAGAAAACGAGACAATATATATGAAACAAATATTTTCAAACAGTGAACACCAGGCAATGTGTAGGTCAGTGGTTCCTAAGAGAAGGAGAAAATGAAGTAAGTCCTACAATTGCCCTTGTTTACTGCCTGGGGTCAGTTTCTAGGTCCAAAACAGTGAAGCAGGAAATAAAGAGAGGCTGAAGTTCTCACTGAGTTGAAGAGATCAGGTTTGGAGTTTGATTATCTAAGCCAGATTGTCTAAAATTTACAGAACAGAATAGGGGAGAGGAGGGAGCTACACAGAGGTAGCTCCAGAGATCTGCAGAAGTGTCCACTGAAATCGTTGCCTAAATACTAAACTATGCATGTGTATGGTAGAACTCCAGAATGCTGGGGGAAGAACCAGAAAGCAGTAGGATGAAAAATTAATCTAAGAGAAGGCAGGAAAAACAGGAGAAAACAACGACCAAAAAACCCCAGATGGGACAAATAGGTAACAACTAGCAAGACGGTAGATTTAACCCAAAACTTGTCAATAATTACATTTAATATAAATGGTCTAAAAACTAATTAAGAGACAGAAATTGTTAGATTTAATAAAAAAACAAAACCAGCTATACGCTAGCTTCAAGAAACCAATTTTAAATATAAATACTCAGATAAATTAAATATAAAGGAATGGAAAAAGATATACCAAGAAAAATAATCTAAAGAAAGCCAGAGTGGCTATATTAACATCAGACAAACTAGACTTCAGAACAATAAATATTACCAGTAATTAAGAGGGATACTTCATCACAATAAAACAGTCAGTCCAACACAATCTTAAAGGTGTACATACCTAATAACAGAGCCCCAAAATATATGAAGTGAATATTGATGGAACGAAAGGGAGATATAGATGAATCCAAAATTATTGTTAGATATGTCAATAATGTTTTTTTCAGTACCTGAAGTGACAAGTAGAGAGAAAAATCATTAAAATATTGAAGACTTGAGGAATAACACTATCAATCAACTTTGACCTAACTGATATTTATAGAAAACTCCACTCAAAAACAGAAGAATAGGGCTTCCCTGGTGGCACAGTGGTTGAGAGTCCATCTGCTGATGCAGGGGACATGGGTTCGTGCCCCAGTCCAGGAAGATCCCACATGCTGCGGAGCGGCTAGGCCTGTGAGCCATGGCTGCTGAGCCTGCACCTCCGGAGCCTGTGCTCTGCAGTGGGAGAGGCCACAACAGTGAGAGGCCCGCGTACCGCAAAAAAAAAAAACAGAAGAATAAATATTCTTTTCAACTGTAGATGAAACACATTTACCAAGATAGACCATGTTCTGAGTTATAAGACAATAAATTTATTTATCTCAATAAATTTAGACAGACCAAAATCATATAAAGTATATTCTTTGATCACAGCAGGATTAAACTAAAAATTTAAAAAGGTATCTGGAAAAATCACCAACTATTTGGAAATTAAATAACACACTTCTAAATAATCCAGGGGTCAAGAAAAATTATAAGGAAAATGAGAAAATATTTTCAACAAATGATAATGAAAATACAACATTTGATATCTGTGGAATGTAGCAAAAGCAGTGCTTAGAGGGAAACTCAAAGCTTTGAATACTTATATTAAGAAAGAAAAATGGTCTAAAAATTATTATCTAAGAAATTAAACCCAAAGTAAGCAGAAGAAAGGCAATAATAAGAAAAGGGACTATGAAATAGAAACAGGACACACAATAGAGAAAAAATCAGTGTAACCAAAAGCTGGTTATCTTAAAAAAAGAGAAAGAATATAAATTACCAATATCAAGACTAAATGAAGTGACATCACTTCTGAGTCTATAAAAATTAAAAGAATAATAAGAAAATACTATAAACATATTTATACTAATAAATTTGACAGCTTAGATAAAACAGAAAAATTCCTTGAAAGACAAAAAAATTCACTCAAGAAGAAATAATGTTAAAGACCTATATCCTATTCAAGAAATTGAATTTATAGTTTAAACACCATCCCACAAAGAAAATTCCAGGCTTAAGTGACCTTATTGGTAAATTGAACCAAACATGAAAGGAAAGAATAACACCAAAGCTTCCAGAAAACAGAAGAGAAAAGAATATTTCCCTAAGACCAACACTATCCCGATTCCAAAACAAGACAATAAAATATTACAAGAAAAGAAAACTACAGTTGAAGATCTTTCATAAACATAGAGGTAAAAATTTTTAATGAAATATTAGGAAATCAAATCCAGCCATATATAAAGACAATGCACCATGACCAAGTGGGATCTATTTCAGGAATGCAACATTCAAAAATCAATGTAATTCACCATGTTAAGATGTTAAAAAAAAAAAAGCAAAACTACATGATCATTTCAATAGATACAGAAAGAACATGTGAAAAAATTCAACACATACTCATATCAAAAACTGTCAATAAACTACAAAAAGAAAAAAACTTCCTCAACTTGATAAAGAACATCTACAAAAAAAAATCTTCAAATCACACTGTAAAGAAGGTAAGTCACTCTTGGAGGAGATATTTTCAAAACATATAGCTGATAAAGGACTTTTACCCAGAATATCAAAATAAGTCATAATTTGTTAAGAGGAGAATCCAATAAAGACTGGGCAAAACATGTGAACATTTCTTAAAAGAAGATATACAAGCGGTAAATAAGCACATCAATAGGTGCTCAATATCATCAGTCATTAAAGAAATTCAATTGCTACTAATGCCCACTAAATTGGCTAAAATTAAAGACTAACGCTACCAAACGTTATTGAAGATATGGAGTAACTGAACTTTCTTACATTGCTTCAATGTATAAATAAAATGAAACTTGCTATAGCTACTACGTGAAATAGTTTGGCAGCTTCTTAGAAATGCTGCAAGTACATTTACCATACTACACAGAAATCCCACTCCTATATATTTACTTAAGAAAAATGAAAATATATGCCATGCAAAGATATACCTGAAGGTTCATAGCAGTTTTATTCATAATAGCTCCAAACTGGAAACAAGCCAGATATGCCTCAAGTAATGAGTGAATAAACAAATGGTATAATTATACAGGTGACTACTACTCAGTCACAAAAAGAAATACTGAAAGACTTGAAGCATAGATGATTCTCAAATGAACAACGCAAGTGAAAGAAGCCAGACACAGAGAACCTACAGGCCAAATGACAAAGACAAAACTAATGTCATGCAAAGATCAAGAGTTTCCAGCGTCCAGAGCAAAGGAGAGACTGAATGCAAAGGGTCATAAGAGGATTTTAGGGATGATAAAAATGCTCTATATTTTTATTGTGGTGATGCTTACTTAGCAGTATACATTTGTCAAAATTATACATTTA